AGTAAACCCGGAAGATTTTGGAATTAAAGTGTTTAGGAGTACGTGTTTGGGTCAGATTAGGGAAAGGGACATCCAAACCCTGGCCAGTTCACCCAGCGGCGACGTTATCAATGGTCAACAAGGTCAAAAAGGCGTGTAATCTCAAACTCTGGTGGTGTTCTGTCTTGCTCCATTACTTGATTTCCAATTTTGATTTGTTAAACGTGCTAGGTTAAACCTTAAACTAACAACCCATGCTTAACAGATATTACATCCTCGGATCCAATGTTGCCATTGTCACAGGAACAAGATTCCCTTAAATCACAAGCACTACGATCAAGTCCACCACGATTTGGTCAGACTCCGCGGTTCGATCCAGCAGTTCACAAAAGTCCGGTAAAGGAGGTTTTATCAGATCAGGACCAGCAAGAGGATTCATTCTTACAATCTATCGTTTCGCAGTCCCATTCAAACTCAAAAGGCAATGACAAATGGGTTGATATAGCTGCGCGACCCACGCCAGCAATGCCTCAACCCGAAGTTAGAAATTATCAGGATATCGAAGACCCTCTAGATGCTATTGATGCTCTTGAAGATGCGCTTGAACAGATTGGACAGGCACTGCCGATTGTCGAGGAGCATGCACTTAATTCTCCTGAAAGAGCAGGCACTCCTGTTGACGGAATCATCCTTTCAGGAGCTGCCAATTCCGGGATACATCCTGGCATAAATCAGAAGAATGGTACAGAACCAGGTTCCAAGAAACAAATTGTATCTCGCCAACGCCAGTGCGTCAATAATAATGGGAGGCCACAAGCCAGAGAACAAAAAATGTCTCAATCACAATTGTTGTCTGCACAAAATAGACAATCCTCCCTAACCACTAGCCGTTCAACAAAAAGCCCTGATCGGTCTGTCAGCAAAAGAGCCCGTTCAGTCCCAGAAGTTGCGAAATCGGCACCCAATTCCAGAAGAGACAGCCATCCTAAATTGTCCTCAAATATTGGCTCAAATGATGCAAAGTTAGCCACTACCAGATCCAGCATATGTAGAAAAAGCAGCCATCCTAGCTTACCTTCGGGTACAGTGTCAACACAGACACTCGGAACAAGTAAGCCTCGTCCCAATTCTACCATCATCAGTAGTATAGCAAAAACCGCCTTTACACCTTCTAAATCCACCAAAACCCCGACGCGCCCAACTTTCGAATTGCCAGGAGAGGCCATATCAAGGCGTCAGAGAGCGCAATGGGAAGAACGTTTGAAGCGGGAAGAAGAAGAACTGCAACGAAGGAGAGAATTTAAAGCGAGAACGGCACGAAACTTTACCACACCAGCATTTCCTGTTAAAGAAACAATTGCTAGTCGTATTCGAGCGACGCTCAAGGCGGAGGAGGTACAAAACAGAATCTCTTCGGCTGAAAGCTCTAGAAACCCTCCATCAGTGCAGCCAAAGAGGTCCAGCTTGATTATGCCTATCAAAACTAGCTCCCTACGTACTGATTCCATAGGAAGCACTGGGTCCAATCGTACTCCATCAGACACAAAAGCTATAGGAAACTCAACGTCCGCGTCCTCAGCTGCACCAGGACGTCCTCTAGCTTCAAACGGCACCAACCGCAGCTTAACCCCCAATGGATCACGCTCTGAAAACAAGGACAAGGACGATAATAATAAGGGCGCAATTTCACCAATCCGTACTGTCAGAACCCCAGTTGCCCCTGCTACCAGAACAGATAGTATTACCCTATTCACGCAAAGATTGCGGGGCAAAGAGATATTTGCTCGTGACCGGATCCATGAAATCGAACGGGGCAGGGAGCGGAAGGAGAAGGAGGAGGCGGCAAAGAGAGCAAGGACTGAAGCGGCGGAGCGGGGCCGGTTGGCCAGCCGCGAGTGGGCGGAGAGGCAGAAGATGAGGTTGAAATCGATGACTAGGAAGAGTCAGACTGATTTGAAACGGGGGTAGATAGGTTGATGGGTTGATAACTCATGGACGGATTGGAAGTTCATGTCTATGGAGTCTGTGTTCGGTATCCCGGGGAATTGCTCTGGAACGATCAAGCTACAAATTGCACGAGGAGTTAGAGAGTTATAATAAATAAAAGTATAGCGATTACTGGACATGCTTTTAATCGTTGTCAAGCGGGAATTCGGTGGATATCGCTTTCTTATCAATTCATATTTTCGTTGTATCAGATAGTTCGTGGATAGGCGTTCCAGTCGTATATTATTGCCTGGGATGGGTTCAACTAATCAATCCACAGAATAGCTCAGCAACTGCTTCATTCTCCTCGTCTCCTATGCAGCTCTGTTGCTTCTGCCTAATTGTCTCAGCTGACCACCATATCTTTTTAACTGTCAGGGCTTGACATCCGAACAATTAAAGTGGTCGGTAACTTCTCACCAGGGATACCAGTTCTAATGAAATCAAGCTCACCATCCCTACATAGTTTTCTTTCAAATATGCCTTTTATGCAATTCGCGTTGCAACTTGTATCAAGACTCTACAAATTTGAGAAAGCTTCCAGTCTGTTCTTACCATACAAGACAACCAGGAAGGTGTATCGAACTAATATCGAACTAACAAGGCGATCTTATGATCATCGATCATCGAAGGCATTTTTCTCTTTTGGCCTCGCCTGCAAGGTTTCAAAATACCCACGTCGTTCTCCCGGCTTATCCACTTCTTCCTGTCACCTGTGCAGGAACAGGCAACCAGCAGCTTCGATCATACGCAGCCACATACGTCATGTTAAAAATATTCGGTTTGTTGGGACAAATAATTCGTCACCAACACACCTTCAAGGTCCCTGATGAGAAGGACATCATGGGTAGTTGGAGAGATGAGAATTGCGACTTACCGACGCCCTTTCGTGAACGTTTAGCAAGCTAAACTTAGAATCAAATGCGCATAGAGATGCAAGAACAGCCTTGAAGCTAAGAAAGAAAAAACAAACAATGATGAAATTGAAAAGACTTTTTCACTATCATCCGACGAAATCAAATCAAGGCCCCAGGAACAACCTTGGTGATGGAAATCATCTGAAACTATGATTCAGAGTATTCTTCGACTAACACTCCAATATTTGTATCATCACGCTACGGCATATTCGCAAATCTCTTCGGAGGCTTACAGGCACACACTCATACAAAGAGGAACAGATGAATAGTTACGGGGTACCCGTCTGTGTGCCGATTTATTCCTCTTTTTCCCGTTCGCATAGCCCACCAGGTCACCCTTTACTTCTGGGTAGTATTTTGTTTAGCATCCGATAGCAATATCGCCACTGGTGGGATAGCCTTGCAGCCTTGTCCGTCCAAGAAAGAGGGAGCAATAAGTAAATAAATAAAAGGCAAGGACAGGAAAAAGTCCAGAAAACAATCTTTTTCTTCGAGGGCCAAATCAAATCCTCTTGACAGAGTTGAACACGTGGAAGCGCAGATGTTCAAAAATAGCCAACCGGATTGAGTGGGGCAATTCTATCCTGGTAGAAGTTAGTATCGACACGAGCAAAACCAATTCAAGAACAAGGAACGAGGTTATGGATAACCATGTTGATTATTGCGGTTGGATAATAATTCTTCCTATTTTCAGCTGCGGTCTTTTCACGCTGCAACATTTGCATTTAAAATATTCTAACAGCAGCTATATAACTAACTTCTTAATAATTAATTAATATCTGGCTTTTAAGGCTGAAATGGAATTTTACTTTCCTTCAATCCATCATCAATCAGCCTTACGTGTTTTTGAGCAAAAGCCGCTGAAAGCAGCGAAAGAAATTTATCCAAAAAAGCTGTTGACAATCCGCAGTAACAAACTTTCTAAAACAAAGGCAACTAAAAGGAATCACCCTTCTGCGGGCTCTAAACAGGTAAACAAATGCATAGAAACATATGAGGATCAATACACACTCTCATTTCAATATCAAATACCAAAAAGGCTCTGCTGCAAATCTACATGGCATGAACCATGCATGTATGCAGGCCCACTGAAGCTCCATAGGTACCTGTTAGGTTAGTGGTTGGTCGCAGATGCGAGACCAGAAAACTCCATCCTTCATTCCCTTAACTGATGCCTCCAATCTCTAAATCACAAGTGCCATCCATGGATGCAATTCCGTTGCCCCAAGTGCCGATAACTGGATGCCCAATCAACAAAATCGTCAGCAAAAACAAGCTCCATCCAAGCACGTACGTGTCTTGACTCATCAGGCCCGGATTGAATATTCGTTCTTCCCCCTTGGGAAACTCTTGTGGTTAATTCTGCTAATTCCTCGACTGCTGAAAATTTCCAGATGTCTAAGGGCAGCGCCTTGCTGCTTACTGCTGTTACCGGGGCCAGTCTATGAGTAACTTTGCGGTATGGACGAATGTGGATGAATCTCTGTAATCCCACTTTCTATACCTCCGTTTCTGTTCCAATGACATCAAATATCGGACGGATCCAGCTACCGTTGATGACATGGAAAGTCTGAGTTTGGCTTGCTGGTAAATGAAAGAATGAACTGGTAACTGTAATTTCATTGCGCTGCAAAGCAGATTTTGCGAAAGGAGAGAACCCAGGTAAGTATTGAAAGATCCAAATATCCAAAAGGGCACAACAATATTTGAGATTTAGTTAAATATCCTGTTCTGCAAATAGATGCCATCGATGGGTATGTTAAAAGGGCTCCAACCACTTGGAGCACCAGCCACATCGTCGATATGCCATATTATTCAATATCCAATGTCCAATATCCAAATACCACATCTCCGTACTCAATTCTCAGGATAAAAGAGAAACAGCATCAAATATCCTACTTTCACCCACCCCTCTCATCCGGTCCCGAACCAGCGAGCCAAGTCCCTGAAAAATGAAGCATCCCACCGTCATGTCACCCCACCACCAAAGTCGTCATTGTCATCGTTATCGTCATCGTCATCAATACTTAAATTCCCCTGAAACAATGCTGCCAGTCACTAACCAGGAAAGATTGTGCACACCAAGGCAAACATCCGGGCTCCGGCGGGCACACCGTCATGTCCTTCCGTCCACCCTTGCTCAGTGCCCCGAGTTGCCAGAAACGGTGGACCATGGGTCACCTCTGGGTCACCCCTGGCCAGACTCCAGCAAAATTATCGCCAACGACGAGGGAATGGTTGGCACACACCTTGGCTGCTACCAATGGAAAGAGCAGAAAACGACCCTATGGACTGGATGAACAACTGCCCAAAGGTTTTAGGTTTCGGAATTTTATCCCAGCGCCAAAAAGCTTCGAAAAGCCTGATTGCGGATTGACTTTCCAAAAGGTTTGGTCCGCCAGGTACAAACCACCTAAATAACGAACGCGTTGCATTTTTATCCTTGCTTTGAGTTGGTTGGAAGGTTCCTGGTCAGGAGTTACCCAGTAGAAGACACGGGAACGTCCCGTGTATATCGTAGGAAAATATCATATTATATGGTCAGTATACTATGAGAAGGAAAGAGGTTCTAGATTGATTATACGGGACATAGTATTGTTCATTGTTACTGTATATGTTTCAGCGAAGGTATGAGAGCTGTTAGAGATATATAGTTATGGATTAATTTATTCGGAATATTATCGTCTATATATTAATTAATATACGGGGGAGGAGGGGGAAGTATGACATACGGCCGAATATCGACAGCATAGGAGTGGCTGGCTTAACACATATTTTATCAAGATGTTCTAGAAGTATTCAGCAGGCTGCTGTTAATATATGCCCTGTATCTATATCATTATCATTATTGATGAGTCGCTTGGTGTCAGATCCAGAGAAGCACAAACGTTCCCAATCAGTCTGAGCTAGAATTAGAACAAAGGAAGAAGCATTTATTTGAATTAATTAATGTAACAGTTTCTTTCTTCGTTTGAAGATGAAAAGTATAAAGTTTTAAGTTTTAATCATTCATTCGTACAGCTGTTGAAAGTATCTGAGAGATTAAATACACAAAGTAAACAGCTTATTGACATGGAGAAAGAAAAACGAAGCCATCAGCAGTAAAGTGTTTCATTTCAGAGAGTACATTCTTTCATCATCGCATGAGTGTGGATATAACATGCATAGTAATAGTAATATTAATAATGAAAATGTATCAAGGAAGAAAGAACCATGGTCTGTCTCATGCGAAAAATGTCTGGTGCGCCAGTGTGACTGGATGCGTAAGTAGATTACACCAAGAAAGTAGAGAAATGACGGCATGCCCAAGTCAAATGCGGAATGGATATCTTCCCAACTCATATGCCGAAACAGCAAAGAAAATAGGTAAGAGAATGTATCATTTTCAAGTTTTTTTTCTCGATAGTATCAAGAGGGTGGATGTATGACATGTGGACGCATCTCCGATATTCATAATTCATCTTTGCTTCATTCCTCTTTTCCCCTTCTCCGGTCCCGTCCAATTCCCCATCCCTTAAAAAACCAGGAGATCAAAACACCAGCAGCCAAAATGCAACTTTTAGAATGACAAAGGAGAGTTTTGTTTTTGTTGACAATGTAAAATGAAAAATTCCCCAAAAAAACTCGACCCAATTCGCCTGCACATGTTTTCAATTCCCAACCTTGAAATGCAATTTATTTTTCGTTTTCTTCCACCAATGAAAAGAGAGAGAGACCAAAAAAAAATAAAATGAGAGGTTAAGCGCAAGTTTTTGAGCCTTCAGCGCCAAATGTCGGAAGTAGAGTAAGTGAGACAAAAAGTGGAGAAATTCGGTTTCGGGTTTTTCTGAGCGACGAGGGAGTAGTGACAGAGATTGGTGATTTTGATAGTTGGTTTTTAGTTTTGTTTTTAGAGGGTTAATTCGCAATTCGTTCGCTCGTGGGTTAAGTATCTTGTGTGGCATTTTTCTGAGGAGTAGAGGTGGTGACAGCGCTTAAAATAGGTATAAAAAAAGTATATAAAAAAAGAAAAGGACGTAACACCGATAAAAAAAAAAAAAAAAAGCCGCAGTGCTCCAACGAAATCCTAGGTAAAAGTAGTAGTCCAGCTCGACTCAATCTGACGCCGCAGACCAGAACATATCGTAGAAGACGTGAGTGGTGGCATATGTATATATGTAGATGTAGAACTTTAAAAAAGAAAAATATTCATGTAAAGACAATGGTCGAACGTAATGTTGTTATATCAATGTCGTACTGTTTTTCGTCTTCGTTTTAGTGTCGGGTTTTCCCCTTGTAGCTGGTAGGCTGGTAGGCTGCTATGATTCCAGTCATTGGGTGATGCTTTTCGTCACGACGAAGTTCGTCGTCGTTTCCAATCACGGACCTTGTCGAAGCTGCCAAAGTATGCTTCCAGCTCACTTTTTGCTTGGCCAGAGAGGCGAGTGGAGGTCGTAGAGGAGACGCTCTGAAGCGAGGAGAGGGAAGTTTGAGAGGACGATGGAGTGAGGCCCGGCCGGGACGCAGCTTGAAATTCTAATGCGGTTGAGGACGGTATTTGATAGTTTGCTGCTGAGGACCCGGGAAATTTGAATCCCCCGAAATCAATGGTGGAACCAAAATGGAGTAGAGCTGCTCCCGTTTCAGTATTCTGTGAAGTCCATGGATTTCGGAGGGTTGTCGTTATTGTACTCGTGGCTGAAGAAGAGGGTTCTGAATCGGAGGCGGCGGCGGCGGCAGCAGTGCCATCCATCTCTGCTAGTCGACAGGCCTGGGAGCAGTATGCACCTCCCAGCGTCTGCCTATCGCAAACTAGACAGAAGTCCAGGGACCAAGGCGTTTCCATTGTAACTTTTTTTTTTTTTTTTTTTTTTTTTTTTTTTTTCCCTCCCCTTCGGAGAGAGCTGTATATCTGAGCCAGAGGCGGTTTACTCTAATTTTCCTTCTCCGGGCTTTTGAGTTGGTGGTAGGTTCAAAAGTATGTGTAGGTGGGAGGCTGATATATAGACGGATTAGCGACAGATATATAGATAAATGGATGGTTGGTTCGTTGGTTGTCGAATTGGCGAGAGCCGGAGATATATTTAGGAGGAATTGGTCAAGGTCAAAGAGCTATAAGTACAGTCGACGAGGACGGGAGTTCGTAATGAACGATGGTGAGTCACCCAAATGACGTGTGATGGGGAGAGGGAGGAGACAAAAATGGGAGTTGGATAGCGGGTCTGGTGGGACCCAGCAAAGTAAAGAACTAGAGATTTGAAAGGTTGAGGTATGAGATAAATCATATGATTGTTGAAGGAAAGGGAGACTCTATATATAGGTAACAAGGCAGCGAAGAATTGAGAATGTTCAAGAAGCGGAAGAAACAATAGAAGTCGAGGAAGAATTTGAAGAATAGCAACAGTTTTCTTTTTAACTACAAAGTGAAGGGAGTAGTAGGCAGAGCCTTATTTTTTATTTTTTTATTATTTATTTTTTGGGTTTTTGCGCTCTAATCTATACAATGCCTCCAGGCGGACCAGACACTGCTTTTAATAAGTGTCAGTTGTCGGGAGTCAAAGCTGGGCTGCAGGTGTAAAAAACAGCATCTCCATTAATCTATCTCCACACAGCGTGCTGTAACTCACGTATGATGTTATATTTTACTTTTTTGTATCTTTTGGTTGCGATCTGAAAAAAAAAAAAAAACCAAAGAAAGAATAATAAAAAAAAAAGGACAGAGGCCGGTAGGAGGCTAGTAGACTAGCGCAGCGAACCCTGGCGGCTGATCCTGTCTGTGTATTTCAGATTCCACACCTACGGCCCAACAGTTGTCTAGAGGGACATCCTCCGTACACACACACGCGCACACACACATGCACACAACGCACACACGCATGTTCCGTATGCCCAGCAGGCGAACAACACTCACAATACCTGCGGCGCGCGCAAGGTGCCCGCCCGGTCATCGCTCCCCACTCCTGGCGCAGGTCTAGCGTAGCGTTGGGGTACGTACTGGGGGACTTACTCCTACCGGCTGGTTGTTCTTCCTCCTGCGGCTCGCTCTCCTTCCACCTTTCTCCCCCTCCCTCCCCCTCCTCTCTTCCCATTCCATTGTAAGACCAATGACGTGCCTCTCACCAAACCCTGTCAAAGGGCATGCTGGCCATTCACATCTTCGCTCACCACACCCAGGCTGCGCTTCAGAACCTTGTCAGCAAGTGACCATTCGCTGGCCGGCATGGCCCCTGCCCGAGGGTCCCCGCTTTACCCTGGGTGGTGGCATGGCGTGGATCGTATCAGAAATGGCTGGCGCAGCACCTGGGCGTTGGAGTGGAAGAAAGTGGCTGCTGTACGTAATAGCTGGGTAGCATACCCTTGGTACCGCCCCGACACACTAGCTCTGGAGCTTCGTTTTAAACTATTAATTACATTGCAGGTAAAGACACGAACTGCAAAAACTTCCTGAACTGCGAAACTCAAGCAGATTACATGGTTCTGAGTCGGTGTTTTGGGTCTGTTGATGGTTTTTCGGTGATGGGAGTGTTAGAAACCTTGGGATCAGTAAATCTGTTCACGAACATTGAACCGGGAATAAGCCGCTGCTTGAGTTTTTCAAGAAAAGAACCTTTACAAATGATCACAAGCAAAAAAAAAAGGGAACCGAAACTTAAAATTAATTATACCTTGGAAACCCATTATGGGTTCGCAAAAAAGTTTTTGCTGGCATCACGCTCATTTCCAAGCAGTCATTGCTCTTCTTTTATTTTTTTTTATTTTTATTTTTATTTTTTATTTATTTATTTATTTATTTATTTTTTCCCTTCCACAGCTTTTATTTTTCAAACCAACCAATGCTCCTAGGAGTCCATGATGGGGTTATGCGTCCCATTATTAAGCGCTGGCTCTTGCCTGCAACCACCTTGGCCAGACCAGCAATCCAACCCTCCGAATAGCTCGCTGCCCTTTTCAACGGAGTCCACACACACAGCCTTCACAGGTCGCTCCGCGCTAAGATCGGCTGATGTAAGCTCATTGCGTGGCGGCTCTGTGTATATCGATTGGATGGCCAATCGTTTTGTTTTGCTCCTGTTTGCTGCTGCTTATCGTACTGAGTGGTGTTTTCTGGTTATTTGAAGAGGGAAGTGAGGGGGTGGAGTGGGTACATTTCCCTCCAAGATATTATTTGGTAGCACTGGTTACAGATTGCGCAGCAACTACTACCCTAAGTTCCTAGTAGATATGGAGTTATACAGGAGAAAAGAATGGATCTTTACTCGTCGTTTTCCTTCTCCTTCATTGCACGCGCTAACATAGTTCCCAAGAGGATAGCCGCGCTTTTCAGTAGTCTAATTGGTGTATGGTGGGTATTCCTGTTTAAGTCGCTGCGAAACTATCGAGAGGGGTGAGGCGAGAGCGGAGGGGAAAATGAGGGGGTGGACTGCTCATCGCCAGAAATCAGCCCAAATAAGTAAGAAATAAGATACGGTCCATCGCTGGTGCATGAGCTTCGGCTCTGGCCTCCATCTCGGGGGGGGGGGGGGTGGCAAAAAAGAAAAGGCTCAAAATGTTGCGGCGCCTGATTCGGCCTGGGGTGAAGAAAACCATCCAAAAGAAACTCCCACGAATATCAGTAAGCATTGCTTCAATCAGAAGTAAAATTCTGCTAGGGGCCGGCCCATGGACAGAGACCAATTGTTCTGCAGAACAAAGAATTTTTCCCCCTCCCCTCAACTCTCTCCAAGTGTCCAACCAACCTAATTAACTGCCTACCTTCGGAGAACTCGCTTCTATCGGTTACTACGGCACCACCTCACTCTAGCCCGTCCAGCTACCAGTTGCTGCTGCTGCTCGGAACGCAGACGGGCTCAGTTAGGCATTTGTAGCCCTTGCTCCTAGCCTCTTGAAAGTCGCTCGCAAATGATGAATCTTCCTGTTTTATGGGCTTTTTGTATTTTAATTCAAGATACCAATAAATGTTAGAGCATCAGTGAAGCATTGCAGGCCCAAGTACAGTTGCGGGATTTTTATTTATTTTTTATTTTTATTTATCTACTAATTTATCTGTTTATTTTGAAGATTTTTTTTTGTTTTTGTAGTTTTCATTCTTCTTTTGCTTGCTTGCAAGCTTATTTCTCTTTCGTTAAGTTGCGCAAGTAACCTAGGCTGCGAGAAAGGCGTACTTACTAGGTAGCGATTATGGAATTGAGCCTGTTGATTTGGCTCATATCATGATGGTGATGATAATAATGACGAACTGGCTCCGTCATCGGGCGCTTTATATTCACCTCAATACTCCAACGACAGCAAGAAGGAGAAGAAGGAGAAGAAGAAGAAGAAGAAGAAGAAGAAGAAGAAGAAGAAGAAAAAGCAAAATAAAATGAAAGTCCTGAGTGATATTATTCAACCAATGAACCTCGTCAGGCTGATCCCGAATATTCCTGAAACGTGCCCTAGGACGTTGAGAAGCAATTCGAGAACGTTTGCCGTGCTTCATCAGGCACCCAGGTCAGTCCAGTTCACAATCGCATTAGTTCTCTATTTTATTATTTACGCTTCCAGCCACCTATGGCTCGCTGCATCATGCCGAATATTATTTCTTCTGGTCAATAATAGCAATAAAACGGAATACTCTTATTATGTTCAATTCCACGGTGGGCTATCCATGCTCTAGGACAGCGCGTATCTCACACGGAGATGATGAACAATATCTGATCTGCTTCTTATTGGACGATGAATTGCCATTCCATCTCTGAGTCGGTAGGTACTGCATATATGTATCCATGTAGCCACATACAAAAGTACATCACGAGCAATAAGAAAAAAGACCCGAACTTCTCTGGATTGATGGTTCCCGGTTCCCGGGCTGTTCTTGGGAGCATCAAGCTTGCGTTGATACATAAATCAAACAGAAAAGTCTTTTATAAAATGAGCATTTTTAACAGTTAACTAATGCCTCTTTCTTCGCTTGGCTATTTAAAACTCCTAGCCTGGCGACTAGAGCCGAATCAGAGATTCATCACAAGTTTTCCTTTTTTTTTTTTTTTTTGCCGGATCAGATGAGAGCTTCAGGTAAACCTCAAATCCCATGCATGAAACTTGCCTGTTGCTCGGCTATTATTATTCAGCTGCCTAACGCTCTGTCCTGCTTGCCAATGTTTTGAGTGCAATGCCAATATCCTGTGTCTGTCTGCCTGTGCCTAACATTGCCTCTTCCATGGAGTGGAGGCAAGCTGAACCGAGCTGCCACTGGGTAGATAGTTAACTTTCAGACCGCAGAAGCAGCAGGCAGGCAGGCAGAGCAACAACAAGAGACCGAGAGGGCTAAGATGGGAATGCCAAAGAAACAAGGTCTCAGGAGCTTCAGATGTCCTGGACCTTGACGGGTCTGTGATTGGGAAAATAAAGGCGAAATAAACTGAATATTAAGCGTCACTGAGCAGATAATTGATTTACGCATTCATGGGTTTGGAGAGAGAGAGAGAGAGAGAGTGTGTGTGTGTGTGTGGTAGTTAATGAGGCCAATATAGCGTCCTGCAACAGGCGCAGTAGCGGGCGGAAACCCCAGGTCCAGAGTAGCGAGTGGCAATAAGGAAGTGGTGGTTATATGCGTGTTGGGATTTTCTCTCTTCTTTTTGCACCCTTCTCTCGAACGCTAATATTCATTTTTGCAAACCCAGTTCCAAGGTTGGAGAAAGCAAAATAAAGCCTTCGGGGAGGAGGAGTTCGTGACATCTGACTGGGCTTGAACTATGAAAAGTTTATGGGATGATGCTGCTCACTCCGCACTTTTGATTAGCTTCCTTCCATTAACTTTTCTTTTGCAAAAACATCGTGGCAGCAGCGGCAACCACAGAAAAATGCAAGCCTGCTTTCAGAGCTAATTTCGATGCACCGTGCGATGTCAGTTTGTGACCATATTCTCCATTTCTCACCAACCATACCTGCATTGGCATCTTATGGTAGGCTTTTCTCCAGCATCGACAGCTTCAACACAGCAAGAAGAAGCGTGATCAATTGGAAGGGACTTTTGCATCCCTCTTACGTCGTCACGATATGGTTTTATTTCTATTACTTCATCGTGATTAAGATTATCGGTCTTTCTCTCTCAGCAGCTTCGTAGCTCGCCTCTCCTGCGTGCATGGATCTTTTTGACGGGTGTATGCAAGTTTCTCCTCCACTGGCGACCTTAAATCGACATTCAATATACCTGCTTTGGTCAAAATTTCCCATATGCTCAAAGTAGCTGCTTGCGCCTGAAGTATCTGCAAGCTCATTTTCTTCGGCCTTCTTGCAGCTATTGCCGGTGAGGCTCTTTTATTATTGGCACATTGACAGGTTGCACAGAGTATGACTTTCGACATAAACCTCCGAATCTTCCAAGGTTCTTTTATCTCCGTTGTTCCCCTCTCTCATTTCCTTCTTTTATATTCTACCCTGCTGTAGCTATTCTCCTGCCCCTTTCTTTACTATTCATGTGTCACCGCGAAAAAAGGAGAAGGAGGCAAAGGAAAGATATTTTCCCCCACAGAAAAAGATCTACTCAAAGTAAATTTCCTTTTCTTCTTTTACTTTTCTTAATGCCAACAAATGTATAAACTTCTCTGTGGGGCCTAGGTTACTTGTTACCTCGGCTGTCAGAGTTCAACTTAAGATAGCTGCCAGCCTATCACTCTTCTCTGCAGCTGATACACTTTCTTGAGAACTTGCAGCTGACACCTAGTTCTTTCAAGTAATGAATGATCAAGGCTTGTTTTTTGACTTCAAAATTCACTTCTAAATTCACTTCTTCAGCTAAGGTTAGAAATGCGATGTGACAACATTTATAGGAAAAAAAGTTTACTTACAGTTTTGCTTACGGAGTAGAAACGTATATTAGATTTGGTTGTCTTGTTGAAATCGCTTGTTACAAGCTACAGATTTACGAACTTACAGAGACTACCTCAGCCGTCATATTCAAAACTCTTCTGCCTGAAGAAGTAAGGCATGTCAATGTCAGCCTTGATGATTTTCAAGCATATGCAGAGATTTAAAACGACTCGGAATTCATAAAACAACTGTTAGCTGGAAATTCAGTTGTAATCCTCCATAACCTGTAATATGTTGCCACAGACAGGGCTGAGTTGTGCTTCACTTATTATGTAATGTTGGGCATGCTGCTTACTCCGTACACAGTAACCACATATCAATATGTGTTTTTTATTCCAATTCTCACCCTCTTTTTGGAACTAAACCACATGGGACTATTCAAAACCCGGCATGGACTACACAAATCATCTGTCGTCGACTGACCCATTCCCCCCCTTTTTTTATCCCATCGTTTGTTTCCTGATTCAAGCTCAAGATTGACGCCGTTTCTCGCTTCTGATCCATACCTCACGACTCAAAGAGTCACGAAGAGCAACCTACCCCGCAAGTAAACACGCCAACGTTAATTATCGTAGATTTGCAAGTTAGGTTGCCTGTGCCAATTTTAGATTCCACTAAGAATCTCAGGAGCTAGGAGCTGGTGACGCAGATGATTCAAACCTAGTGTATCTGCTTTGCGCACTCAATCACAACTGCGAAAAGAGAGAGAGAGTGTGTGTGTGTGTCGGGGGGGGGAGGGGAGGGGGTTTGGTGATCCCTCTTTTCTAAGAGGGTGTTTACGTGTTGCAGCGACTCTTTTTCCAGCTACCGTGATTTCACACCCCATGTCTTCCGGATAGGAGTTTACTGATTGTATTCCATCGCGGAGTTTTCAGGGTCCAGCATGTGCCTTGGTATCACAGTCAAACCTGCACAGTGGCGTGAGAATCCTTGGACCTTTGTGCATCCAACCAAACTGCCTAACTCTTGTCCTAATTGATTCTTTTTGGCCAAGTCGCCTCCTTGTATATAGACTTCTTAAGACTTGTATCCTGGATGCGTGTTTTTGACCAAGTTTGCCTGTAATAATTTTCTATCGTCCCCCCTGCAGTCGCCATTTAGTAGTCTCTTACCCAAGGGCTCACTCTGTCCCGTTTCAACCCCATGAAATCATGGGGACAGGGTTGAATGGTGTTGTTGGTTAGTGAAGGAGGAGGGATTACGGTTGGGGTCGGGCCGTGTATCTGTCTCCTTTTCTTCCTCTTCGCCATCCATTGCTTGCAATCTATGACATGATTCCTCCTCGGTGGCTGTGATTGCATCCCTCAACTCCAAGCCGGGAAGGGGGTGTGTGGGGTGCACGGTGCAGGGGCGCCAGTCCAGAGACCAAAGCCCAAAATCCCCACAAATCACTGACGAATTTTAGGAGCCTTCAGTTGAGTCGGCTGATCCCCAAAATCTATTGCT